TTTTATGTTGTATATTCACATCTATGTATTTGCTACTGCTATTGATATGTTAACGATCAGCAGCGATATGATAGGTACTATATGTAATATGTAAATTGTGATGAGGTTCGCCGCATCAGTCGCTGGCGTGAAGAGCCGACATCAGCCGAGGACCGTCACCATCAGGTCAACCCGCCACCTGAGCCAGGGCATCCTGTGTCTGGACCTGCTGCAGGCCGACTGGATCCCCGTTTACCAGGCGGAGACGGTGGCAGCCAAGTGGGACGCCTGGAGGTCAGCCTGGACGCCGCTGATTGATCGACTTTTCGCTATGTTGCGTGGTTCACGAGATCTTAGGGCGGGCCAAAATGCCCCCCCCCCCCAACAGGGCGCGCTGCTCGTCAGATCCCAACGGGGCGGTTAAAAATGCTCATCCATAGAAACTACTGTGCAATGATGAGTGAGCGATCCTCGATTTCAGCAAATATCCAATTGAACCCAGGCATATCCATCACAACAGCATCATGCAAGGCGATGATATTCAAATACACACCTGGCCTACTGAGCTATCAATTTATCCAAGGCCACTCAAAACTTTGAAGGTTCCTTCCGGGGCGCGAGGCACGCGCGGATCACCACGTGGGTACGAGGTCGCCGCTGGACAGTCGTGGCCGGGGTGGGCCGGCGCGGCGCGGCGCGGCGGGGGGAGCCAGAGTCCTTCAGGTGTGCCAATCAGGGGAGCCAGCCGCGCCGGATACCCCCGCGGGCCGACCGCCGAGTGGGTATATAAGGCCCAGCGACGTCTATCAGGTTAACAAGCTCCTAGGTTTCACAGCCTGCACCTCTCCCTCCTCTATCTGGTGAGTTCGCTCAACAGCGATATCAGACAGGGAACAAATCTATTTTAAAAAGATTACAAAAAATGTTTTGAACTTTTTACGACTTATATCAATTTATGTTTCTTAAAACATTCAAAGAACACCTCGGTAAAACACGGACATTTGCATCACAGCGAAGCTGAATCAATGCAATTTGTTGCTCACATTAGATGCGTTGATATTAAGTGTCATTTCGTTATTTTTTTCTTTTTTAACCAGCTTAATTTTCTGCCTAGAATCTTAGAAAGTTCAATCGGTGCTCGCAGTCATGCATGACACCAAAAACTGTTCTCGTTCATAAGTGGATGAGGTTCTTATGCATCTCTCGCCTTTCCGCAGCCAAGATGCACTTTTCTCGCGTCGTCGTGGCCCTGACGGCCGTGCTGCTCACTGTGGACGCCACCTTCATCATCGGCACCGCCGGCACGGTCGGCGTGGGCGCCGCCAGCGCCGGCGTCGCGCTGGCCGGCGTGGCCGGTCTGGCGCTGGGCGCCGCGCTGGTCGGCGGCCTGGCACTCAGCCGGCGCGGCAAGCGCTCGGTGGCCGCGCAGCAGCAGACCGACATGGTGCTCGACATGGTGGCCGCCGCCGACGTGTACGGCTGCGCGCTCAAGCTGGTCTGCCTGGTGGAGGCGCGGCCCGAGCAGCAGCTCACCGCCGAGGACGAGCTGATCGTGCAGCTGTTCGGAAAGGCGCCGGCCGCGCTCACCGAAGAGCAGGTCAGCACGCCGCGTCAGGCCTACTTCTACGCCGCCTACCTTGGCAGCGCCCAGGGCGCCGACGCCTGCCAGGCCGTCTTCCACACCTGCGAGGTCAGCTACGATGCCATGATGGCGTACGTGCGCGCGCTGCGCTCGTAGGCAGCCGTCGCATCCGTCACATCATCGTAACCGTCATCCGTCATCCGTCTCATGTCAGTCCGTCATCGGCCGTCAGCCGGGCCGGGCCGGACGCCGACTGATCTCTCTCGCCCGCAGCTGCTTCCCCTCGACTGAGCGTGTCAGCGCCGCGAATGTGTCCCCGCCGGGGCAAAATTCGTGTGCGGCAGCCTTGTCCCTCTGTCGTCTATGACAGGGACACCACGCCGTGAGACCTGGAGCTTTACCGGAGCAGTTGCTGGGTGCAGAGGCTGGTCAGGTAGTCGACTCTCATGCCCCTCGGCACTTGGTCGGCCGTCGGACGGTGGCCTGAGATTTGGCAGATTATATCAGTTGTGTTTGCTCATGCCCATTGTGTTCCCATGCATTTATTGTATGCTCAAAGTGTTTATTGTGTGTACAAACGGTGGTTTGGAAGTCGTCATGACATTCTTGCTGCTTAAAATATACCTGACTTGAGGATGTAAGTAGCTATTTGGATGGACTGGAACGATAACGACCAAGGAGGCATGACTTATTTACATCGCCTGTAAATGTCAACTGTGTCATACTTAACGGGGAACGTTGGACAGTAAAATGAGGTTGCAACAGGTTTGCACTCTATGCAACAACCTACGGTCAAGCCATGGAAACCCTGATAGGCATAAAGACATCCATGGCAACGAGCAGTGTAGGTATTATAACAAAATTATTTAAGTTAGGTAGCTTCAAACATCGTAGCTCGAGACTCACGCAGCTCGCGTAGCACCATCAACAGAACATATTTTAGAATGCATAGGAAAGCTCGGCGTCTGCTAGCGACTCATGATCCCTCACCAAATAACCTAACGAAAAAGTATAATGTTCTATCAGATTTTCAGAAATTGTTGAGCACCATTGTCAAACTATCGCTACCAGTAACAACTGCATGCCATTAAAGGGACTATCCCACCTTTAACATGAGGGTTGAGTTGAGATAGCCAAGTTTGCGGCGAGGTTCAGAAACCACTATCTATCTAGGTTGCAACCCCCGCGGCCTCTTGGTGTTGAAGAAATTCGTTCCCTTCATTTGAAAATGGGCCTTGTACAAGGCCCTATCTTCAACATGGAGCGACCGTTAGTGTGACGTCACCTCGTTTAGTCATTCTGATTTAAATGGGTTTGTACGCAAAAAAAATCGTTTGAAACCTGGTCTGAACTTTGTTGTGGTGCCTACAGAGTAAAAAGAATCAGCTTTATGACAGTACAGCTTTATGCTTTATGTAATCTTTATGCTTTATGCTTTAATGTAATCAGCTTTATGTAATGTGGCCTGGGGAAGGAGTTAATTTTGGGCTGTGACGTCACATATTTGAAAGTTTGTGTTTGGAATATGGGAAGCCTAAGATGTTTAATGAAAAATAAATGCCAGAACCGTGTTCCTGGTCATCCAATCTATAAAGTCGGGCACAATTTAACTGGTTTTAACAACATTTTAGAAGGTGGGATAGTCCCTTTAACGGTCCACCTCTGAGTAAATAATGTTCATGGGTGCTCAGAATGGAAGAAAAAAACATTCACTTCTCATTAATTCGTGTGAGCATAATTTATTCAAGATCCATATGTATCCATCATTTCAATCGTAGGCACTGATGAATATAACTAGGTCATTAACGTTAACGATATAAAAACTCATGGCGTTTTGCACAGCAATCCAGCAATAAACATATTTCAATTATAATGCACCCAAGCATTGAGCTTTCAAACAGACGAACAACACGGGTAGAGACCACCAATCTTGTTTTTGTTCTCCACCCATTTTGTCATTCCTGAGAGCAAATCACACCAACGACAGGGCTCTCGAGAGTAGGGTAAGGGCGGGTAAGAGGACGCGGGCGATAAGAGTACGCATCAGCTGTTTCGGTTGTCTAGCAACACGGGTTTGTCGAGTTCATGAAGTGACATGAAGCCGCCAGTACCTGTTTGTCACCAACGGAACGTGGACGTTGTGCGGCGACACTGTTGAATTTATGGCGATGAATATTATTTTGGAGCGTTATGATATTATTATGGTATGGTGCAATAATTTTGATACTTGGCAGTTGAGATAAGGTACATTTTCTTGATTGTTGTGGGAAACTTGTGAGGTTTTCTGGTGAAATACTGTGCAGTGCAATTTTCTGTTTGTGAAGTTTTACACAATGTTTCGGGGATGTTTTGTGCGCGAATTGCATGTAGGGTAAGAGTACGCACTGTTCATGAGGGTAAGAGTACGCAGAATTATACATTATATCGAATATACAGAAATATCACATTATTGATACATCGCTCAATGACGTTTGCTTTGTTGGTATATCATCAATGGAGCACTGTGAGGCAGATGTATACCCGTAATTCTTCTAAATGCGATTTATTCTCCCTTTTGATTGTACATTTTTAGAGTCGCATGAATTGATTACTTCTTGATTTATAGATATGCAAGATTTATTTTATGTTTTTTTCTCTTTTGATACTAGAATTAAATTAAATGTCTTCTGAGTTTGATGTTAAGCATTTGGACAGTAAAAGCTGCCTATAGGTGTGTGTTCATATGCTTGCGTACTCCACCCGCATGGTGTGCGTACTCTTACACACCCCATGTGGTAAGAGTACGCAACAGCAGCGGTTCAGAAAACGTCAGTTTTAGACCACTTCCAGTTACGCTGAAGGATCGTTACCTCATGGGTTGATGCACAGACTTCTCTATATAGAGAAGTCTGTGGTTGATGGCAAATTCAATGAACTTTAATATTCCATATTTGCGACTTCTTTCTTTCAAATATTTAACAAATGAGAGCAAAAAATCCACTAAGTGCGTACTCTTATACGACTTCACCCTACTACATATAGAAGGATAACTATTGAAAAGGCGTTATATGCATTGCACACCTCAGCATGCCTAGCGTAACCTCGTGATGTTATTTATGCCGAAGATCACACAACTGTCAAGAAAGGTAGCTGAAAACAGACTGGTGTAAAAAGTGGACCTAAGCCCATCAATGAAAAAAAAAATCAATGAAACGGGCCTCGACACCAAAAAGGTACTTACTTCAATGAATTATTGCTCTGTTTCTAACTACGCAAGTGAATAACTTTATAACTTCTACCATATTCAACTTCAGATCAACGCATATGTGCCTAAGACTTATAGAAAAACACTGAACTCTCACTCTAACTAACTAAGTATGCATGACTTTGTTCGCCAGCAGCCATGGCGCTGCCAACAGCCCTATCACATTTGTTGTAGAGCAGGTGATTATCTGGCTCCTCAGCTGGCCTGCTCGTCAGCGTCTTCTCCTTTCCGACCCAGCGTATAGGCGAGGAACACGACGCAGAACAGCGTGAACAGCACTGCCAGCACCCAGCGGCACACGTGGTCCATGTATCGGGGGTTCCGGAGGCGCTGCCAAAAGCTGACGGTCGGCTTCGGGTCGGCTTTCCCATTCGCTTCCTGAAAGAAAGGTACTGTAAAGAATCTGTCCGGATTTAGACTCCCGTGGGTTCGCACTGTGTCATGTTCATTGTTCATCTCATCAATGTTATCTACAGGTGCACTTATCGATGACATCCATGGCAATTTCGTACTTCATGTCCTCGGCTCTTTTAACCCAGTCATCCTCACCTTGCGCAGCTGAAAGGGCGTAACGCGGGTCCAGCGCGCGGCCCCATCCGCCAGCTCCCTCTGCACCCATAGCAGCACGGCGTACTCGAGGATGATGAGGAAGTCGAAGAGCAGACAGCCCACGAACCACACGTCCGTGGTGCGGATGTACGAGACGCGCATGCTGCCGCTGTAGGAGGACGCACGCGACAGGTCAGAGCTCGGACCGAAGCGAAATGGGATCGACCAAGAGTGACAGTAAACTCAGCGTTCCTACATACATTGCTCCAACTAGTCCACTGTTCAGAGTTTTTTTAACGTCTGATATTTATTCAATCAGACGAGTCCCATGGGGAAACACACAGCTGGCACATCAGCGAACAAACTGTTCAGAGTTGGCGGAAGGAGGAGCAGACCTCGGAGCTACCTCACCGGTGTCCATGTAAGTACGGTACCCTACAGGGCTGACGGAAGGACTGGCAAACCGCTAAGCTACTACCGTTACTAACAGGCTGGTGTCCATGTCCATGTAGATAGACAGAGCAGACGAAAGGAGTGGTGAGCTTCGAAGCAGCCTCGCCGTTACTTACAGACTGGAGGAGTATATGATAAACACGTCTTAGATCTGAGCCTGTGAGCACCTCGCCGTTACTCACAGACTCGATGTGAGTCCATCGCTTTGTTTTGTTTTTGTTTGTTTTGTTGGGTTAGGGCCTTTCGGTCCAATGACCAATGGGACCATTTCAGAGCCGGGAGGATGATAGGATATAGCCAGGAGACATTGGTCTGGGCAGGCACCCTAGTGAGTCACCGGGGCTGAGCCCGTCCAGAGGACAGGCCACCCAGCCCCAAGGTACTCACTGCACCCGGCTACGGGGTGCGCTCCCTCGGGAGCAGCGGTGCCGCTCCAAGGGAGCAACCCGCATGAGATAAAGTTGCCTGTCCAGCCCGGAGGGGGTTGCGGCGTGGAGGAGAAGGACTTCAGTATCCTGAGGATAGAAGCACGGAACGGTGAGCGCCTCGCCTGTACTCACAGACTGGATGTGTACATGGTGAGCAGGGCCAGCAGCGAGGTGATGCAGAGCACCATCCGGCCGGGGATGACGTCGGGAGGCAGCAGCAGGCTCAGCCAGGACGTGGCCACCAGCAGCACGCACGGCAAGAACGTGTGGAAGAAGAAGAAGGTGGTGCTGCGCTTCAGACGCACGCTCACCAACACCGTGCGGCGACAACTCCCTGGAAGGCCGAGAAATGATGCATCGTGAGTGGAACATATCCGTAATATATTGATGAGAAAAGGCAAATATCCACTTTACTTTTGGAGCCCGTTTCCAAAAACGGTACTTACTTTGACTTCCTTCTCCAATGCAGAATGTGTGAGGGCCAGCTCTCTGGAAAGTTATGCTAAAGGTGTTGAATTTCAAAGCCTTTCCTTCGAACACCGCATGTTGTCTTGGTGCCCAGAGCATTTCGATTTGTTCTTGTGTCTGAGAGTCTGAAAATGAGTGACACAGGGAACTTTCAGCGAGTGTGAGCGAAGGAAGACAAAGGAGAAGAACCATGACAATAAGTTGTAATTCCCATGACGTTTACAATATAAATGGTGCAATGCTGGCCGAATGTATAATGAACAATTCATGCAGCAAAGAGACAAAAATATACACAGACATATAAAATACACATACCTACACATACCTACTCGTAAAGGAATGTCACTGTGAGGTGGGGGATGAGTAAACGGCACAGATAACTGCGAGCTGGGCCACATGAATGCTATCACTATAAACGTGTAAAATACAGTGGCAAAATAGGACTTACAGCTTCCAACAATCAAATCACATGTGTGAACGTCAAATGGGTATGCTGAGAAGTCCAGATGGCAGCCAACCGAATATGACGAGCTGAAAAAAAAAACAGCGGAATTAAACCGGTTGTGCACACTGCGCAGCCTCCCACAATACACACACAATTCTAAACACCAGTATAGCGCCTTTTGGGGCGACTAACGGAGCGAGCGAGGGGGTGAGTCTTGCACGTGCGAAATTTCGAGGGGGTACCTCCAACTGACTTGTGCACGGCACCCTACTGACCGGTTTCTAGCGATGTGCCAAATTTGAGCACAATCGGCCCAGCCGTTCTCGAGATCTGGGAGCGGCACCCTGCACGTGCGCACGTGCAAAATGGGTCCCAACTGACTTGTGCACGGCACCTTACTAACTGGTCCTTAACCGTGTACCAAATTTGAGCGCCATTGGTCCAACCGTTCTCGAGATCTGGAAACGACCCTTGCACGTGCGCACGTGCAGCAGCACCCCAACTCTGGCACACGGATATGCAGTGCCTAGTGAGTGCCTACCTACATGCCAACTTTCAGCGCAATCGGACAAGTAGTTACCGAGATATTGCAACAATTACAAAACTGACACCTCTTCGTTTTGCACGTGGCACGTGCATAAGGGGTCACCCACATGCATCGGGAATAGTCCAATACTTGGTAGAAGGAATAAAACTACCCTACAAAAATTACCGCGTGTAAATCGGTCAAGTGGTTGCTGAGATATAAGCCTCGCAAAAGCGTCCGCACGGCCGGCCGGCCGCTCATACTCAGAAATTTCCGTTAATCTAAGGAAAGACTCCGCTCGCTTCGCTTGCTCCGTAGGTAACCAGTATAACGCCTTATGGGGCGACTAACGGAGCGAGCGAGAGCGGAGAGGGTAAGCCTTGCACGTGCGAAATTTCGAGGGGGTACCTCCAGCTGACTTGTGCACGGCACCTTACTAACCGGTCTCTAGCGATGTGCCAAATTTGAGCGCAATCGGCCCAGCCGTTCTCGAGATCTGGAAGCGGCACCCTGCACGTGCGCACGTGCAAAATGGGTCCCAACTGACTTGTGCACGGCACCCTACTAACTGGTCCCTAACCGTGTACCAAATTTGAGCACCATCGGTCCAGCCGTTCTCGAGATCTGGAAACGACCCCTGCACGTGCGCACGTGCAGCAGCACCCCAACTCTGGCACATGGATATGCAGTGCCTAGTGGGTGCCTACCTACATGCCAACTTTCAGCGCAATCGGCCAAGTAGTTACCGAGATATTGCAACAATTACAAAACTGACACCTCTTCGTTTTGCACGTGGCACGTGCATAAGGGGTCACCCACATGCATCGGGAATAGTCCAATACTTGGTAGAAGGAATGAAGCTACCCTACAAAAATTACCGCGTGTAAATCGGTCAAGTGGTTGCTGAGATATAAGCCTCGCAAAAGCGTCCGCACGGCCGGCGGGCCGGCCGCTCATACTCAGAAATTTCCGTTAATCTAAGGAAAGACTACGCTCGCTTCGCTCGCTCCGTAATTATTTTAGATGCTTTGAACGAGATGGAGAGGAACACGTGACCGCAGTACTGACTAGATGGAGAGGAACACGTGACCTCAGTACTAAATCCCATGAGCAGCCAGCCGAAGGTATACTGACTAGATGGAGAGGAACACGTGACCACTGGTCAGCAGGTGCAGCCGACCGACGTCCTGCAGCAGGCGACCCTGTTCGAAGTCCTCCTGGCCGAATATAAAGATGTCGGGCAGCCACAGACGCTCCTTCAGATCTGAGTCGAGCGTGATGCTGGAATAGTTTCGTGCCGATCTTGGTACGACCAGTCGCCGGTCCTCCCAGGCGAACGAAAAGAACGTTTGGTACCGTAGCACCTAAAAAGATTGGAAACAAATGTCATTTTAAGTTCATAATTTTTGTATGCCTCATTTTTTGTTAATCATATCCAAATGTGCCTGAAGTACGAAAACTTTAAAAAGTTCTGCCACGGGTCTTTCTCACATATTGAAACAGGAAAAACATTCGACACTGTCTTGTCAAAAAAAAAAAAAAACTTTACAATGACTGCATATTTCCCCCAAAAAATAAGCATCCTGAGACCAGCTGTTGTTTCTTGCTGCTTAGAAATAGGGAAACATATCGTTTGTTTTCTATGTACCTAACTCCCATGCGGTATCAGTAACCCGCGCCCCGTTGGGCTCTGCCGAGCAACGCGCCCGGTTGGGGGGGGGGCCATTTTGGCCCCCCCCTAAGATCTCGAGAACCACGCAACATAGCGACAAGCGGTAAACGGCGTTGGATAGCCCCAACGGGGAACTACCTTGTGACCCAATTTTATTGACCTAGGTCAAACCGATGACGTCACAGGTCAGGTCAAAGGTCCAATTTTCACCGTTTACAGGCACTTCAAGAAATGCGTTGTAAAATCGAGTAAAATGCATTTCATTGAAAATCATCGATGGGTAAATGTTCTTCAAACACATATTTTGCTATTTGAGGTCACTGATACCAGGTCAGGTCACAGAGGTCAGGTCACGGGGGGGTCACAATATGAAAGTGTCGTGTGATACATGTTTTATGGTCCATTTTACATGGCAAATGCGATTATATGGGTCAGGCAGCCTTTGGGGCCAGCTTAGATCGCGTTTTGGTCAAGGTCAGGTCAAGGTCAGGTCAAGGTCAGGTCAAATTAGGTCAAATTTCAAAGTTAATATTTTTGCATAAAATGGGTATCGAATCGATGCAGCTCGTCACAGGGAGTTCAATGGTGGTCTTTGTTTTGCCGTACGTGGTCTAGAATTGCTAAAAATTGAGTTCAAAAATTTGACGTCATCATTTTTGAACAGTTTTTTTTCGCTATAACTTGGCCAAAAAACGAGATATCGATCTGAAATTTGGTATGTATATAGAAGAGCACTGGGACTATCACATATATTCCGGTTTTTTCGAAATTCGGAAAAATGTTGGATTTTTCAAAGTTTTTCTAAAAAAATCAATTTTTTGAATTTTTTTGGTCAAAAACCAAAAAATTTGAAAATCCGAGATAGCAGTTTTGTAGCGCCGCTTTTTGTCTACTAGACCATATAAAGAACTTTGAAATTGCTTGATAACTGTAGATTTGGTGAGCGTTTCAAGATTGCATGTTTTTTGCTCATTTTTGCTCGAACATGACCTCAGTTTGACCTCAATAACTCCTGACCTAAGGTGACCTAAGACTTGAAATTTGGTGTGAAGGTGTCAAATTGATGCCCGGGAAGGTACTGAAAATTTGGCGGCGCTGCGCGCCGCCGTTTTCTTGCTATTCAGGAAAAACCACAGGGGGGGCCAAAATGGCCCCCCCCCAACGGGGCGAGGGGTAACCAATTAACCATGGCTCAAGAGTCAAGTGCTACAATAATTATCCATAACTAGGATATAACTAGAAGTAGTCCAAGCGTCCACTTACGCCATTTTCTTCGTCCACCTGCAGAACATTCTGCAAGTCGAAAGTGAAATAGATCTTTATTGATCTTCCATCTGAAATGGTTGACACTGTCAGCCTCTTACGGATTTACTACCGCATATCATTAACAAGCAAATATCTCAACCAGAACAGTAGAAGTGTTAACTCTTCTTGCATTGTTTCAAACTCAGGCACCAGTTCAGCATTGGCTTTGAAACGGAAAGACCAAAAAAACGTTAATAAGACAGGGCATATTTTGTCAATGTCAATATTTTGTCAATATTTTGACGACTACTGATTCAAAAAGACTTTCTGTACCATTTGTTGTTTAAATGTGCCTTTCAAATCATGGCAGCTCACTTAACAATCTCGAGAGAAAGTAACGAAATTCACAGGAAGGCTGCTCTTACCCGACTGCTTCGGTAGCATGTATTTATCGTAGTTCTCTGGAAATACTTCAGATAAATTATAATCGTTGGTACTGGGCAGTAAATGTAAGAAGTCTGATGGCAATTTTTCGTTTGAAGCCAAACCCAGCACCAGACTGCTGTAAGCACACAAAGGCATTATTAGAAACGGTCGTAATTCTGCTCAAATGAGGGAACGATGTGCATTTTCTGTTTTCCCCTTATCCGTATAGGGTGAGCCATAAAGATTTACCCATGGAAAATTTCACTTTGTTTCAAGGCGAGCTGACATAGCTATGTCATCTTTTACATACATATAACAACGACATTTCTAATAAACGTAGTCTGTTTTCTGTATGCTCGCATTCTCCTTATGTTACGCGCCAGAAACGCGAGGGCACTATGGCACGCGGCCGCCGCACCGTCTTTTCACTTATTTTCCTCGATCACCCATGCTATAACAATGCTTCGCCGTATGTCATTTGCGGTGTTTCAGGGACTCGGTAGAGTCGGGTTTTCAGGATATTTCAGTTTGGGAAGCCCGTGGGGCTGAAGTCGGGGATAAATTGTGCCCAGCATTCTTTATCATTAGGGGAAGTTGGGGCAATGCCGGAGTTGGGGCAAAGCCGAAATTCGAGATATTTCGAAAACCGTACGACATGGATGCCACCTGTCAGTGATGCTCTGAAGCTTAAGTGACTACCAATTATCGCATGTTTGTTACCAGTCGTCATTCGGAATACTTCGGCTGTGAGGGCGCCAAGAGCGTTTTCAAGGTACGTTTCCTTTGTACTACATGCGTCTTCGAAGCTGCATTTCCTACTCATTATGCTACCGTTTGTCTGGCCAATTCGGTCAAGTAATCTTCAGCACGTCTTTGCATAAGTGTGCTGCCTATTTGAAATTTGTACAGCACGTTGAAAAGTTATGGGCCTGCAAATGAAAGTATGGCTGGCTGGGGTAATGCCGAAAACGTGCAATTACGCGCGTTAAAGCACGCTACGTGAACTTTACCGCTGTAGAATAGCAACGCGTATTTTAAGTCACACAAATTACACTTTTAACCGACACAACGGCCTGTTACCATAAGGAATGATTTACCTGGCCTTTTATTATTATATCACACAATTATAACTTCCAGTGTGCACCAAGCGTCCTCAAGCTCTTAAAACGCGTGTCAGCTTTGACGAATTCTGGATAAAATTTGAGATAAAATAGCAAAACATCAATTTCGGCATTCCCGTAGATCATTTCTCCCATTTTCGGCTTTCCCCGCAGTCCGGGGCAACGCCGAAAAAGTCACTTCTTTGATATTTTTAGTTTGTGCGCTTAACGGTATGCGAATTCATCAAATGCGCCTGGTATGTTTGAAAGGCAAAAGACTGGCCTCTCGAATGACGCCAACAAGAATAGCTTATGTTGTCTACCTTGCGTGCTACGGGCGTCAGAAAAAAAGTATTCGGCGTTCCCCCAACTTCCCCTATTTGTCTTTCTCAACTGTACCTATCTATGGCTGAAAATTAACTGTAAGTTAAATTCACTGTATAAATTATGGCACTGCACTGACTTAAATATGTTAATTATGCTCATGTTATGACCGTATTCAATGTTCTTGCTGGATGATAAATGCAAGCAAAAACGAAAATAGTTATGTTTACGGCGGGCATTCCATAGAAACATACGAGTAGTTCCATGCAAAACTGTGTTGTTGAGCGTGACCACTGACCGAACTGCTGTAATGGAGGCCGCGCAATGCGCATTCGTGCCCGTGCTTTTCACAATGTAACCTGTTTGTCGACGTCGCTACAGGCTCATCATTGCTGTAACCAATAGAAGGACAGTGGTTCATTGCAGCAGCTATGTCCAACAGGATTGATTTGAACGCGAAAGCCATTGTAATTCCTGTGTGCACTGCTGCACTTTTTATACATAGGCCAAACTAAGCCTGAAGTAAATCTTGAACGAATAGCCTTGTTTTGCGCCGCAGGGTCAGCTCTTGAAATGATAGACACATACCATACTGACTGGTACTCAGCTGCATTATCTTCACCCGCGCCCGCTGGGAGGGTGGGGGGGGGGGGGGCAGAATCTGCTCCCTCCCGTTTTTGTTCGCCAATAGCTTCCTGACACGTTAACCCGTTACCCGATAGTTGCTAAGGTATTCCGCCACCCGCCGTTTGCTAGGGGGGGGGGAGAACGTTAAACGCCCCCAGCCAATAACTCGAGAACCAATAGGGGGCAGCTGAACGCACCAAGCGGCAAGCGAAAGAACGCGAAGAGACGCTTCAAATGAGTATTTGAAATTTGAATTTTGTGGTCACAGGTCGGGTCAAAGTCAGGTCAAACGCCTGAAATTAGGCTGTCAGTAGCACAGACTTTAGAACCTCGCTTAGGGCGTCTCTAGTCACAAACTCTGTCAAAACTGTGCACAACTGCACAATCCTTTATATAAAAATTAAAAGTATTGCAAGCATGACAGATCCATGTAGGGATCAGTCAAGCATAGGTCAGGGTCAAGGTCAGGTCAATCAGGCAAGCATACCTATATCACCGAAAATCAAAACTGGTATTCGCAGTATACGACTGATGTTTTAAGGGTGCTTTTGGGCATAGATGAAGATGGTGACATTCATATTACTTATCATACGAGTACGTGTTGTGTTGAAATAGATCTATTTAAGAAATGCATGCATCATGGTCGTGTAATAGGTAGTTCCGAGAAATTGTCAAGATTCACTTTAAGCTTTTGGAAAATGCGAAACGATAATCAAAAATCGAAGATAGCCATTTGATTAATTGTGTAATGTATTGGCTGTCTAATGGCGTTAACGTCATGTCTCTACGTCTGTTCTGATATCTCAAGAGTTTCCCAATCGGTTTTTTCAACTTCGTAACAATAAATTTCCATCAATTCTCTAAAGGTAATCAAAGTTTGGCGTGCCTGCGGCGCGCGGTTTTTACCTATAGCGCGGCGAAAAAAGTGGGGGCGTTTAATGCCCCTCCTCCACCTACCCATCCAGCAACTCGCCGGTTAAAGGGACCCTCCCACCTTCAAAAAAGTTTATGAATTGCCATGAAAGTGATGTCGCTCGGTTCAAAAAGAGCGAAAACGAATATCTACCAAATTTCACTGAAAAATATTCACCGGTTTTCAAGATATTAGACTTATACTTTTGTTTACTTTTTGGGATAGCCGCTGTTCCTAGCCCCTTTATTTGGAAGCAATTGTTTGGAAGCTGAAAGTGCGGCACTTGTTGCGCGCAAAGCAGCATGTACCACCGCGTGCTACAAAACGTTTTAGTCAAACACTTAAAAATCGTTAGATATCTGCGCTGACGTCACACATTCAGAGGGGTATTCCTATGCATTAGCCCCTCTGAATCAAAATGCTGCAATTTTGAAATTCAATATTTCCGATTTAAGGCATTTCTCGATGGTGTGAGTGCCGAAACCGGTAATTGTGAGCCAGGGACCCCATTTTGGCTATCTCAACTCAAATCTAATGTTAAGGTGGGAGGGTCCCTTTAACCCTATTAGTGGCAGGGGGGGTTGTTTTTATCCACCCCTCAGGTTTTTCGGGAATATCTCCGAAACCGCTGAAGCTACGATGCTGAAATTTTCTGACTTTTCCTAAAACTAAATTGGGCACATTCCCTGAAAATTTCAAGTTCATAACTTTACCAGGGGCGGCTCCAGACTACTGGGAATTGGGGGGTCCTATTCGTGAAGCGAGTCATTTGGGCGAAGATCACGATGCTGCACCAGTTTTACGAACAGTGAATGAAATGTATCATGTGATAACATATACAAAGTTATTGTGCATCCTCTTTTGACACGTTTTTGCTATAATAGGCGGATCCAGGCGTCCAAAAAGGGGGGTCATTTTTTACCTCCCAACATAGGTGCCCTGACACCGCCTATGCATGACCAATACAATTTTAGTCGTTCTCTCATAAGAAAATTGTAACATAACAAGACCATTGCCACCCTTTTTAGAAACAGTACCGAAAAAAACCTTATTTACTATACTTTTTGTGTACCCCCAATCTCAATGATCTGTATCCGCCTATGATTTTTGAAAATGCATATTTTTAGGATCCATGTGAATTCCTGGTTCATTCTCTATCGATCGGCAAAAGTTGCGTTAAGATTGGTTCAGAAACCTGGCCGTGATAAACAGTCTAAAATGTATCTGTAATTTGCCCGTTTTTACCCCCCTCTACCCCCCTATTGACATTTTTTAATTTTATTTTTTTTAGAAATGTAGATCTCGTTGAGCCAAATCGAATGCCGTTTGAATTTTGAAAATCGGCCGGTTAGATCTCGAGATATCAAGGGGGGGTCGTAAACAGCCCCCCCCCCCCCTGCCACTAATAGGGGGTAGCCAGGAGCCTGCCACTAATAGGGTTAAGCCAGCAACGGCACACGCTCAGTACCAAATAACACATCAATTCGACATGTTCCCTGAAAATTTGAGCGAAATCTGTCGAATGTTTTATGGGAAAATGAAGTTTAAACGTCATTAAAGTTGACGTTACTGTTAGTGACGTCATGTCACCCTTCCCTGAGAAAAAAAAAAAACACTGGATCTTACCTGAAATGGATGACTGCGAGCCACAGCTGCCACATGAGCTGGGCCATCCCAGCTGGATGATTGTCCTTCCCGTGCTTCACACTGATCGGCTGGCAGGGCGTTGACAGACGGACGGATGGACGGTTGATAGACGAACGGACAGACGGACGGACGGACGGACGGACAGACGGACAGACGGACGTTGACAGACGGACGGATGGACGGTTGATAGACGAACGCTGAAGCAATTGGATGTTTGTAAATATGCCAGGCAAAATGTAGAGATGGGATAACAGAAAGGCAGAAGGAAGGAAGGAATGACTACCAGAAAGAAGGAGGAACCGAAGGAATCCTTTAGACAGGATGGTCCAGAAAGACGGGAAGATGAGAGGTCAAACAGACGTTGACAGACGTACGGAAGGGTGCAGTTGGGTGGGGACTTGAGTGTAGGGTGTAGAAGGGTGCAGCGGCCCGCCCACCGGACGGTCGGGCTGCCGGCTCAGCAGTGACACCCTCACGGCCGAAGTGACGCTCCTGTGGACGGCCGGTCGTCTTTGTTGACGGTCGTTGCAGTGCCGTCGGCCCGGTGCCCGTGAGCTCGGTACGAAACCCCCACCGACCAGCCGCGGCCACCGATTGACGCGGAGCTGGACCCCCACCACCGCACGGATCGGCTAGATTGTGTGCTTTGTGCAAACTCGGGTCAGAAGCTATTGTGTTTACACACAGCAGCTAGCCCAGTGATGGTGCCCGGCGTCCCATGTGTGTGGTTATGTATGGTTCGGCGTGCGTGTAGTATCGGCAATGGAAGAATGGATAGCTGTATCGTAATTGGGACCACTGAAAGCCATTCATTACCTATCTGAAATTACTGGTTATTGTGCGACTGTGAAGATCGTTTTTTTTTTGTCGGGACCACTGGAATGCAAATTGCAAACGTCAATAAGTCTTTTGTTAGCATGTTAATTGTTAATTAATGCTTTTATTTGTTTTGTTGTTGAAGTCGGGCGACTTGTTACCCGCACCGTGACGATAGTATGAGTATAACACATAACACGACACATGGGGGAGGGTCGTCGCCGCCTCCTCTTTCTGTGCGTAGAGAAACCCGATAGGTCTGCCGCAAGGGTTCAACCACAGATTTTGCACCTCGCGTCTTTTTCAGAACGACTTTTTTAACCTTCCCGGCTTCCTTCGATTGCTCTTATAACGATTTGTTGCTCTTCAATCAACTAGACGATGTTGATGAAAAGTACGGATGAATAGTGCTGGTTAAATGAATAGATAAAAATGCATTTCCCGCTACATGATGTCCTTTCAATGTTGTGTGTAGGTATACTGTATATGGTGCATGGAAACGATAAATAAATAAAGCAAGAATGTAATGATGCATTCTTAGTAGGCTACCATTTGAAATATTTCAGCCACTTACATATAATAATGCAACAGATCACAACCGTCACATTCACATGTCTAAACAATCGATCACCCACCAAGTTCTTGCTCGACTGTGCCTTCACAAGCCCACTGTATCGATGGCATTCGAGGTATCACGACTCACGGCGTGGAGTCTATATCATATCAACGGCAGAAAGACGAGGCTGCCGCACACGAATTTTGCCCCAGTGGGGACACATTCGCGGCGCTGACACGCTCAGTCGAGGGGGAGCAGCTGCGGGCGAGAGAGGTCGGTCGGGGTTCGGCCCGACCCGGCCCGGCTGACGGCCGATGACGGACTGACATGAGACGGATGATGGATGACGGTTACGATGACGTCACGGACGCGACGGCTGCCTACGAGCGCAGCGCGCGCACGTACGCCATCATGGCATCGTAGCTGACCTCGCAGGTGTGGAAGACGGCCTGGCAGGCTTCGGCGCCCTGGGCGCTGCCCAGGTAGGCGGCGTAGAAGTAGGCCTGACGCGGCGTGCTGACCTGCTCTTCGGTGAGCGCGGCCGGCGCCTTTCCGAACAGCTGCACGATCAGCTCGTCCTCGGCGGTGAGCTGCTGCTCGGGCCGCGCCTCCACCAGGCAGACCAGCTTGAGCGCGCAGCCGTACACGTCGGCGGCGGCCACCATGTCGAGCACCATGTCGGTCTGCTGCTGCGCGGCCACCGAGCGCTTGCCGCGCCGGCTGAGTGCCAGGCCGCCGACCAGCGCGGCGCCCAGCGCCAGACCGGCGACGCCGGCCAGCGCGACGCCGGCGCTGGCGGCGCCGACGCCGACCGTGCCGGCGGTGCCGATGATGAAGGTGGCGTCCACGGTGAGCAGCAGGGCCGTCAGGGCCACGACGACGCGAGAAAAGTGCATCTTGACTGCGGAATGAGAACAGGACTAAATAGATTGTGTTCAATTTTGCAACCGCCATCCCCTCATGACTAAGCAAAGGGGATCGTTTTATTCTGCACTGTCACCATGTCATTGTTGTGTGCCTCGTTGTATGTTAGTCATATAATATTCTTGTTTCGACTTCTTACTATTGGACTACCGCTTAGATGACCTAAATAAAACCTAGAAGGACTGGTACTCTTTCTAAAAACTGTTAAATAGTTGATATAATACGTAACAAGTGATTAAATAAATGAGACCTATGTTACAGTCGCGCTATCTCGACAAGCCAGCTAGATCCTGCAATTAAAACTCACCGAGGTTTTGGAAGTTAAAATACCCAAGGAAGCAACCAACTGAACTTGAATCAGCCTCAGCACAGGACTTATATATTCGGCCATGGCTCGTGGGTCTCCTCTATTTGACCGGGCCCTCGATTGGCCGTTCGAGCGAAGGTCCCTGATTCCGTGTGCCGTCCTCGAGACCTTGTCACCACGTGCTGGTCGTGTTTGAGTGCACCTGCGCCAGGAAGTAGCCGTATTATTGCATCATCCAGCATTCAGAGATATTTACATGCCATTGGGTGCCAACTGCCAACTGCCAGTTCACCGTGACTGTATAGTGTATTTTGAGAGCGAGGGCACACGGTAAGACATTTCCGTGGATATAATGCTAAGATGAACATCAAAAGCTATTGTGTCACAAACAGGGTGATTTATGTGTAAAGGGTAACTTTGTCTAGAACTATATCATACGGTAGTTGCCTGCGCTAGTGGTCTACGACATTGTGTTGATGCTTAGACATTATTATTTAGCCTGACCTTATCCTTTTTTAGTCGTAACAGTATTGTTCTAATGGTCCAATCAGTGCTCAACAGAAATGGCACCTGTAATTTTTAATCCTACACCGGTGCATTTTCATAGGGCCATTTCAATAGTGTAAAGGGCTTAGATGGCGGGTTCTTGTTCCCTCCCTCTGGAAAGTTTAGCACCTCGCGCCGGATTGCCGGGTGCCCGCACAGGGAATATACGGCCACGCCAGCCACTGCTATACTCGTATGTTTGCAGCACAACGCAAAGTATATCAATAGTGGCTACTGTATGTCACAAAGAGTGAATTAGTGACAATACCTGTACAGTTGTACACGGAGGACATTTAGCATTGTGGCATGTTCCTCGGGATGAATTAATCATTTTCATTATGGCCTGGTGGCACTGTGCACGGCCAGTGCGGTACAATGCTGCAATAAATCCGGCAAATAGCAAATGGTTCTAAATACAAGCTATTCCGCAGAGAAACGTGGAATAATATCACAGTCCTGTAGGCCATCATACTGCGCTTAAAAGCACACTGTTTCAGCTGATTAATGTCACCACTAAGGCCATAAAAGCTTGTTCAGAAGTGCTTGCCTGTCCTTGCTGTAGTGATCATTAGTTATTGGCCCATGTGGTGAATAAACCATGGTGCCCACTGCCCAACCATAATCGGAAAACAAGTGATAAAGTGAATCGAAAGCCTAATGGGGCCTAAGAACGTCCTGGCCACGGCGAGGTTTAATGACAAGCTGCTAAATGATATTTTAGTGGACTTAATGACTTGAAGTGGCACGTAAAATGGCATTCAAGTGCCAATGCAAGATCTCATCTTGAACTGCGGCAGTGGTCTCCCAAAAATGCCGACTAGGATGACATAGGTAATTCATTGACGATAGGTCTGAATCACCGGCTAAAAGGCTTCATTCGTTTTCGTCACAGCTCGCTGGTTGCTGGTCACCGTCAGCCAGTCAGGCTGTTTCAGACCTACCAACTGACCATCCGCAGTCTACCGACACACACACTGAGCGTACTGCATGTAGAGCGATATCATGGTGGTTGGAATGGAGCTAGAGAGGCTCGGCGGCGCGGCGGACTTTACGCCTGACATGACTGGCTTGACGGCCGACCTTACCCTGGCTGGATCGTGACCCGCCTTATTTTGCGTCTGGACGTGTCACAGGAAGGCGCCCCTGTGTGTTCTGACGTGGTCGGCACACAGGACGACACACAGGCTCGCTGGGGACGCAGACGAACACCATTTCCGTGGGTACACTCCACACCGGGACCGGGGGAAGGGCGGTCGCCTTGCGTCAGTACCTGGCCTACATACAATGGGCGCCGGCCGGGAGACGGTGCCCGGGGCGACGATCTCTGGCTGCTTCAACGAGCGCCGGTCGGAGCTGCAGCATATAAACGGTGAAGGCACGGGGAGGGCGAGACTACTACTCTCTCGACTCGACTCAGCGGCACAGTTACTGTCCGACCCAGGTGAGGAAGGGAATGGAAGTGGTGGGATGGTGTAAGGTCATGTCAACCACTGTGTCGAGTCTCCTGAATAGTCACTACCCAGATCAAGCAGCCCTCCGAAATTGTTATTAGTTATTGTTCAATGAGCTGTACTAATTTGGATTATTCCAATGCAGTAATCATACAAAAGATCTCTGAAACACAATTTCACTTCTAAGAGCCCCTTTCAATCAGAATTTGCATTTGTTATTACATGCGCAACTAAGTGGAGACAAAAATTATTTTGGTTCACATGACGTCGAGAAATGTTAGTTTACTCAAAGTAAGAAGTGTCATGTTCACCAAAATCCACCGGTTTACAAAATCCATCGAAAAGCAATCCATTTGCATTACTTTTCTATATGGTTGGCTATAAAACTCTTGCATTTTACGTCTTTTTTATCTAGGAAAAGAACATTTCTTCTTATAGGCGTGTACTAACTATTCTCATCTCAAAATCGCCTCTTTAGCATAGTTCCGTATTACAGTCCCTGTTTTATTTTGTGATTTTTATTGTTTGTCGATGTGAACGTAGTATACCTATAGCTCATACTAGCTGCACTGAGGGATCTTGTTTTCCTCGTTGGCGGGGGGGGGGAGCTCCTTAACAAATATATGTAATAGCTCCAGAACGCTTAGAGATGTAAGCAACGCGAAACTTTCGGCGCCTTTTTCCCCATCAGCTTGGCATGTTTCGAAGTAAGACAAATTTGATCTAGCTCTTTCAATGTTGTCACAGGGCTCATTTTTCTAGAATCCTGCAAAGCTAAATTTGACGCCACAGTCATAAACTTGAAACAGCTTTTTTAGATAGTTAAGCCAAAATACGAGAATGCCTGTGTAGCATATGAGCTTAAAAAAAAAAAATCGACAAATAATTTTTGTGACCTTAGGTCAGGTCCCCAGGTCAGGTCACCAGGGCAGGTCAAGGTTCTGTCATTGGTCCCGGTAGAATGCCAGCGCTCCTTCTTC